ATTTGGTAGTAAGCATGACTGCTAGCTTGCTTTTGAAAGGAAATAGCAACCCTTCATGTGCTGCTACCTGATGAGAAAGTCTTAATACCGTGTTGACTGCTATGCATCTTCCACTAGTCTACTGGCTTCTAGTCTGCTCCAGACAGGCCCCGGGGCTGCTCCTCCCAAACACTGCTCAACTCAGCAACCTTGGTCCTGCAAACACCATCAGAGCTGCTATGCTGCTGTGCTGGTGCCAGGTTTTGCGAGGAGAAAGAGGAGCCAGGAAGTTTTGTTTCTATGAACGTGACTCAAGATTGTCCAGAACTAGAATTCCAAACCTAGTTTGGGGGTTGGGTGTGCTTGATCCTTTTGTGGGGCTTGGCTTGTATTTTTCTTAATGCCTTCAGGGACTGAGCCAAGTTGCAGTCAGCCTCTTCCCTCATGCTTGTTCTCACAAAGCAAGATCAAGATAGAAAAATTGTGTCTGGAATGTGGAAATCTATGATAAAAAAACATTAACAGAGCAGATCTGCGACTGCTGTGCCTGATAGTTAAGCAAATTAATCCTTTGCATGGTGGGCAAAAGAAAATGAATCAATCTGTGAATGGACAGGACACTTCAAAAGCTTTGGTGGATCTGTCAGGAGAGTGGTTTGTACATGGTAAGGAGAAATGCAGTCATTAAAGAATTGTCTGGGGAGCTGGCATCTCAGTTGCAGCAGTTGAAATAGGAGCTCAGAAATGTTTCTAGGTACCTTTGGTAGACTTCAGATAGATCAAAATGAGAACTAACAAATGTTCATTGGGGTCTCCATTTCTGTTCTCACTTAAGAAGTAACTGAAGGAAGACTGGAGCTGCTCTAAGCACCATGTAGACATGACCATACAAAACACTATTGGAAGGAAAAAACCAAGCCTGGAATATATGATTATCAGCCACATCTGGAATAGGACTCATCTTGATTCATGAATCACAGATTCCCTGTAAAAGATGCCACAAATTTGTAAATTTCTATCCTCCCTGATGATGGACACATTTTGTTTCCCATTAAAAGGAAATAGGTAAAAATGGTTCCATTTCATGCCTTTTTTTTTTTTTTTTTTTTTTTTTTTTTGTTGTCTTCTCTCAATACTACAACACTCCCCTCTGTATTTTGTTAGAACTTGGTCATCTCGTGTTTCCAGAGCATGCAGTGGTTTTAGCTAGAAAAGGAGGCTAGGGTGATTTAAGAATCACGCTGCGCTCTCTCGTTACAGTAACTCGTTTGGAGAGCAGGGAGTGGTGGAATTCTCTCATGTGGTGGCTCTAACACAAGGCCTGGTGGGGCAGGATCTGCTCTGCAACAGTCCACTCAGCTCCGTGGTGGGGAAAAAAATATTTGGTCTGCCTTTTATTAATGCCCGATGTTAATTCCAAATGGCATCTTACCTTGTAATGTTTCACACACACACAAGCAAGAAGTCTGAGCAAACACTTCTGGTTTTGAAAAAAAAATTCTCCCTACAGTTCAAAAGTTTATTACACTTTTGTGACCAATTTTCTGACATAAATAGGTCCCTGTAACAATTTTTAATGCTTTAGGAAGCAGCACACGGCATGCACACAAAGTACACTCTGATAAAATACAAGGTAAATGTGCAACTGTCTGCAAAATAAAATTTCTCAAAAAAAGCAGAGAAGCAAATACTGCGAATAACCCCTGATGAGAAAAGTAGTTTTTGTGGAGAATACCATCCATTTTGGCTAGCTCTGAATTAAAAAATACTACAAGAAGGTATTAGCATCATTGATCTGTATTGTACAGCCTACCTGTGTTGCTGGCAAGGACCTTCATGAAGGGCAATGAACAGAAGTGGGAAAGTGAGCAACATTAGATTGTCTCATGAAGTTTCAGCAGACGTGTTTTGGAGGATTGTCTCATGCATCTATTTCCTGTGCTGCTACACACATGTAGCAGTTCCACACGCCTTCACATTTACTTTTGGTACCGTAATTTCCAAGTGAATAAATACCACTAAGAAAGCTGTGGGATGACTTTTTCCATGGGGATTAAGCACTGTGGAGCCAACACAGGAAGTGTCACCACAGCTGTACCCTTCCCTACAGAGTAATCTGATGAAACAACATAATGGCATATTGGTACACCAAACCCAGGACTGGATGAACCACACCACTGTGTTGACAACACTGATTAACTGCTCTACCTTGCATTTGCAGCGATTAATTTCATGTGAAAGCATCCTAATAACAGATGTTCAAACTGAGCTTGCCTATTACACAACAGGGCCAGTAAATTGGCCAGCAGATTTGGGACTTCCTGAGAGATAACGACAAATACCTGTCAGGACAGTTCTACTTCCAAACAACTTAAAAATGGGCATCCTGGTTGTCCTTCACACGGAGACAGCTGGAACATCTTCAGCATACCCAAAGCTGACCAGGCAATCAGCCTTGTCTAGCATTGCCAAAATCTCCTTTCAACACTTCTGCCTGATGCAGAGTAAACTAAAGCAGCTAAAAGAAAATCTGGTCTATAACCTTACATGGAGGAGTCCCTCTCCAGGTCTGCCCAAGTGTGTAAGCATTCACACACCAAATTTATACAAATAAAACTTAATAGGCAGTATTTATGATGTATTTTCTGTTGTGGAATCTTAACTGTAACTGAAGTGGTCTTCCAGTGCCTGTTAAGGCCTCTTGCAGCACTGGTTACATCTACTGAAACTTGGACCTTACTGTTTATGCAACTTTTGCCCCTTCTTCCACTGTTGTCTGAATTACCTTTCCTTTAATTCATTCCTCTTGGGCTTCGACCCTTCCACCCCTATTCAGACACAAGGCAAGAAGTGCTGCTCAAAGGTATCACTTGCTGCTCAAAACCACTGACAGTTCACCAGGGCAGGCCATGTATTATCTCATTTAATAGAATCATAGAAGCATTTAGGTTGGAAAAGACCCTTAAGATCATCAAGTCAAACCATAAACCTAATTCTACCAAGTCCACTACTGAACAGTGTCCCTCAGCACCATGTCTGCATGGCTTTTATACACATCTAGAGATGGCAATTCAACCACTTCCCTGGGCAGCCTCGTAAAGTTGAAACACAACACAAAACTTCAGAAGCCTGTTCCAGTTGTAAATTTTATTTGAAAGGTGTCGTCTTTATAATTTCTTAATATATAGAAATAAATATGAAAGGCCTATACAAATATGAACACTTAAAGAGTACCAATACTGCCCTTTATTTATCTTTCAATATTTAAAGGGACAAAACTGCATCAAACAGCCCACATCTTTAGTAAAATAAATTTTACAGAATCTCAGATCTTGAACGTCTGATCGTGTCTAACAGAACCTTTTAGACTTTTTCTGTTACTTCAACACGAAATGTGTTCAGCTGCCTTTGAGAATTTCACAAATTAGACTGATGTACATTTTCCTTGAGATGCACAGTAAAAACAAAGTCATACTTAAGTAATACTCTGATGTAGGAATGTAGGACGTAGGAATTGGCATTATCACTTTTAATGACATTGTTAACATAATATTTTTCAAAAACATTCCAATGAATTAAAAAGAACACAGTCTTGCCTTCAAATAAAATCCAAGTAATTTTGAAAACTTGAGAAAGGGCATTTGCTTTTATATAACATTATTCTTCCCCAAGCTTTAAAAAAATTTAATTCAACACCACATAAAATGCTTTTGATACAAAATAACATCATAAAACAAGCAGGCTTTTTGCTTTTTTGTAAACTATAATTTATACTCTTTCCACTTTCCCATAAAGTGATACTTTTCTAACATAGGGCATCATCCACATGCGCTTACATGATCTCACTAATTTACACATTTCAGAAGAGTATAAAGCAAAGCATGTGAATTTGAGGAATGGACACTAAATGGAATACAACTACTCTTTCAAAAGCTGGGGTTTCGTTTGTTTTTATGAAAAGGTGAAACCCCAATAATATTGAAAGGACAATGTAATAGAGCAAAATCCTCTTTTGTCTTTCCTTAAGGAATTTGTCCTCATCCCAAAACTAAAGAGTTCCCAGATGTTAATTTAAAAACAGTAGATTAAACTTGCTGACAATCAGAAGAAATATTTCAGATATTTCCTATTTGGACAATAAAAGTATAGGCTTTAGTTCAGAAAAAAAAGATAATAATATAATTTACTCTGAGTGCAGAAAAGCCCAATCCTGCATTTCATTGGGCTCTTTCCTGTTCATTCAATTGTTTTCACTTAAGGAAAGCATATAGGATTTCCCTCTCAAGCCTGATTTAATAACTTAGGTGAATAATTGTGCTTGAAGAATACGGATGATTAACACTTTACAGACACAAGATTTAAATGGTATTTAGGAATGTCTATCCTGTTTTTCAAAAGAACTATGACTTTTAAAAGAAGCACTGCACTAATTTTTTCTTTCCTTCAAAACAAAGCTTTACAAGCTCATGTTACTAAACAGCTCTCTCGTTTCCACTTATTAAAGTTGAAGTGCTTGGCTCATTCTTTCAAAGGAGAATTTGTGGATTCACTGAGAAGTACATGGGACAACTCCCTACTCAAGGGCAGATACCTAATACGGCTCAGCTTGGAACAGCAACTGTGCCATTGGGTTCTCATTCACAGCATCAGAGGAGCTGTTTCTGTAACAAAGCTCCCCGGTTCACTGCAGTTCCCTAATCAATTTTCACTCCTCCAGACTCCTCCTGAGCTCAACCTCTTTCCACGACAGGTTGTGTAGGCACAACTAGAAGTTCAGGTCACAGAGGACTGACTGTTTTCCAGCTGTAACAACCTAAAGAAATTTTTAATGCAGGCATTAATCTGGCCTGCAAAAGCTAGTTACAGTGATGATGATCAAGACTATAAGATTCTAGCTCTACAGCAGGTCTAACATTCAGGTGAAAGAGCAACCATAGGTGGGTAGGGAACCAAAAAAAAAAAAAAAAAGACAAGAGACCATGTATATAAAGACTTGCAATGTAATTTTTTAAAAAACTAACCACTTTCAAGGTAGGAATGCATTTATCAAAAACTAAGCTTTGCTACATCACAAATGACTTGAAATTTGGGTTCCTGAGCTTGATATTGGATAGGGGGAAGGGCAAGGGCAAGTGTCTTGTATATTAAATTATACAGCAGATCATTAGGACAGCATTTAAAAACCTATTATTAGAAGAATGAATAAGTTATAAATGTGACTTTAAGAATATTATAACTAAATAGTAGTTTACTCAGAAGACCTTAATCATCTTTCTTGTGTGTTTGAAATCGTTCCATTAAAGCTCTAAATACATTTCCTGGTATTTTCTGATGTTTTTCTATCAGAGCTTGGAGTGCTGCTTTTGTCTGTAG